AAGGGACCCAGGTTCGGTTCCAGTCAGGGGCATGTACCTTGGTTGCGGGCATATCCCCGGAAGGGGGTGTGCAGGAGGCAGCAGATCGATGATTCTCTCTCATCGATGTTTCTGGCTCTCTATCTCTCTCCCTTCCTCTCTGTACAAAATCAATAAAATATATTAAAAATAAATAAATAAATAAAATAAAGCTTTACTTTTTTTGCTGCAAACTGTTCACATTCGATTGGGCTTTGATGCATACAGGTGAACAAATCCCATTAGTTCAGAAAAATAAGCAGATGGGGAAGATTTTTTTAAATAATAGAAAACCTTTCTGACCTCAGAATAGGCAAAATTTTCTTAACCAGAACACAAAAACACTAACCATGAATGGGGGGAAATGTGATCAATTAGGACTATTAAACAATTATAAATTTTTGTTCACCAAAAGACACCAATAAACAGTGAAAAGACAAGACACAGAGTGAAAGAAGATATTGTCAATATGAAAATAAAAAATATGCATACACAGAATATATTTAACATTTCTGCAAATAAGTTAAAAAATGAAAAGCCCAATCATCAGGCATTTTAAGAAAGAGACTATCCAGGGAGAAACCAAGATGGCAGCAGAGGTAAACACCTGAACTTGCTGCCACACACAACCACTTCAAAATTACAACTAAAAGACAAAACAAACATCATCCAGAAACACAGGAAGGCTAGCTAAGTGGAAATTCTACAACTAGAAAAGCACACTGAGACTCAGAGGAGCTGCGGAAGTAAAGTCTAGAGGTATTGAGGCACGGGCACTTGGAGAGGGCTGGCAACCGAGTATGAGGCTGGCTTTTTCTTTTCTTTTTCTTTTTTTTAAAAATATATTTTATTGATTTTTTACAGAGAGGAAGGGAGAGAGATATAGAGCTAGAAACGTCAATGAGAGAGAAACACCGACCAGCTTCCTCTTGCACACCCCCTACCGGGGATGTGCCCGCAACCAACATACATGCCCCTGACCGGAATCGAACCTGCGACCTTTCAGTCCGCAGACCGACGCTCTACCGCTGAGCCAAACCGGTTTCGGTGAGGCTGGCTTTTTCAATCCACAGGAGGTACAAGCTCCCAACTCCAGTTCTGGGCAAGACTCTGGAGACCAGGACTCATATGGGGAGAAACTGGACTGTCTGGCTTCGGGTAGAACTCGAGGGCAGCTATCTCTCAGAGGTGTTTGCAACAAGTACCGTGGGACACTGAGACCCAGGGACATTATACCTTTGCTAGAATGACATGCTGATGGACTTCGAATTTTAAAATACCTCAGAGATAAGATAATAAACTCTCCAATAATTGAATGAAGAATCTAGTTAGACTTTCAAAAATCTTCATCAAAATTTCTCACAGACAGCTATATTACAAATAAACTCAGAGTGAAGAGAATGTTTTCTCATAACTGGGTGAAGTAACATTTCTTCAGGTCTCGTCCATGGCCACCAGCATCAGAGTCACCATGGACATCTTAAAATGCAAATTGTGGCTCCCTCTTCTTACCGACTAAATGTGAACTTGAGGTTGTTTCTTTTGCACAGTTGAAGAAGGGCACACTAGTCTATTGCTGGGTAACCCAGTGTTCTTATTCTCTTCCTGCAGCCTAGCAACAAGCTGTCTCTACAGGGAGGCTGTAAGGTTTCAGGCAGAAACCAGCGTGGGTAAGGAAAACTTCCCAGACAGCTAGTGTCAAAAAGCTTGTATTTAAAGCAATATGATTGAAACCCAAATAGAAAAGCTCCGTTTTTCAAATCTGCAGGGTGATCCCCACTCAAGGGAGCAGGGAGTCAGGATTCCTTTTCCAGAACATTTCCCAAGGTGTATCCAGGTCCAGGCACCAGTCTCCATGGATGGACAAACTGGGGGATCCTGGGGATTTGACTAGCCCTAAGTCTATAAAGTTTAGTTTAGAACCTGCACCATGTGCGATTGTGTTTATAGAAGCCATAGATTGCTTGATAATATCTAAGTCTGAAAAACAGCGGGCATGTATTATTTAATACATTTACCTATGACTTGAAAGAATAAGCACCCCATCAAAAATTGCACTCCTACTCCTATAGATGACATTATTTTACTTTAGATAGTTAGGAGTCATCTAACTCCTAGGAATAAATTGCATAAGGACATTTTTTAATTTGAACTTGAAGTCTCTTTTTTAAATCAGATGCTTCCTTAAAATATCACTATAGCTAAAATTTAACAGTTTTCCTTGTGTATGTGTAAATATGTAGAAACATTTTAAGCATGTATGTTGAGTCCATGATCTCAATTTAATGCTCTCATAGCTCAATTGTCTATGGCTGTTGAATGGATTATCTTTTTTTTTTTTTTTTTTTTTTTGCCAGTTAATGTTAGTACCGTGTTTCCCTGAAAATAAGACATCCTCTGAAAATAAGACCTACTTACAGGTTTCCTTCTGAGTGAAATATAATGCATCCTCCCAAAAATAAGGACCCCCTAGGCTAAACATGAGAGATTTGGTCCACTGATTCTGAAAGAAATGGAGTCACAAGAAATTCACCAGGAAATCCAGGAATTGGATTGTTATGATGATGTTCCAGAAGATGATGACATGATTGTCATTGAATAAATGAGTAAATTCTTGATACTGTAGGATTCAGTTTTTCTGGTTTGTGTTGACAACTACCATACTACCGTACTGTATACAGGTAATAAAATTCCTTTATTTTCATTTAACAATAAATGTGTACCATATTCTTCTTCATGGAAAAATAAGACATCCCCTGAAAATAAGACCTAGCGCATCTTTGGGAGCAAAAATTAATATAAGACACTGTCTTTTTTTCGGGGAAACGGTATGACAAAATTGCAAAGACAATTTTTTTTAAAATATATTTTATTGATTTTTTTTTTTTTACAGAGAGGAAGGGAGAGAGATAGAGAGCTAGAAATGTCGATGAGAGAGAAACATCAACCAGCTGCCTCTTGCACACCCCCTACTGGGGATGTGCACACCCCCTACTGGGGATGTGCCCGCAACCAATGTACATGCGCCTGACTGGAATCGAACCTGGGACCTTTCAGTCCGCAGACCAAAGCTCTACCACTGAGCCAAACTGGTTTGGGCCAAAGACAATTCTTAAAAGGCTTAAGTAACCCTTTGATGAAAGGGTTACTCATCAGAAACCCTCAGTTAAGTAGGTGAAAATTTTGTGATAGGGTCAACAAACAAAACTTTCTCTTGTTAAGATAAGAGTATATGCACCCTGGCCCATGTGGCTTACTTGGTTGAGTTTCATTCTATGCATAAAACAGTTGCCAGTGCCGAAACTGGTTTGGCTCAGTGGATGGAGCGTCGGTCTGTGGACTGAAGGGTCCTAGGTTCGATCCTTGGTTGCGGGCACATCCCCAGTGGGGGGGGGGGTGCAAGAGGCAGCTAATCAATGATTCTCTCTCATCGATGTTTATAACTCTCCTTCTCTCTTCCTCTCTGTAAAAAATCAATAAAATATATTTAAAAACAAACAAAAAAACAGTTACCAGTTCAATTTCTGGTCAGGGCACATGCCCGTGTTTTGGGCTCAATCCCCAATAGGGGGCGTGCAGGAGGCAGCTGATCAATGCTACACTCTTGCATTAATGCTTCTCCCTCTCCCTCTAAAATCAATAAAAACATTTTTTAAGAAGATAAAAGTATGTGCATCACCATTTGTTACATTGTATTCTGGGTATTATTTGAGTATATCTGTAAGTATAACTAATAGAAGGAAAAGCCTGAAGACAAAGTAACAACTGGAATGGAGAACCACTGAAGAACATAATAACCAGATTAAAACTCTTCAGTTTAGATTAAAAAACAAAGGCAGAAAGGAGAGAAGACATAAACCTGTAAAATAATAAAAAGATGAAAAAAGCTCTTCCAGTCGAAAACCGGTTTGGCTCAATGGACGAAGTGTCGGCCTGCAGACTCAAAGGTCCCGGGTTTGATGCCAGTCAAGGGCATGTATTATACCTTGGTTGTAGGCACATCCCCAGTGGGGGGTGTGCAGGAGGCAGTTGATCAATTTATCTTTCTATCCCTCTCCATTCCGCTCTGTAAAAAATCAATAAAATATATTTTAAAAAAGAAAAAAAGCTCTTCCCTGATTCTCCCATTAAAATTACCACTGTCTTTGCTGGCCTTTTGTCCTGTTTTATTTTTCTTCTCAGCACTAAACAACACCTGCATGATATATATATATGCATTTGCTTATGATTTGTCTCCTCCACTAAAATGTAAGCCAATTCTATGTTAAGGAGGGACTTTCTATTTCAAGTCTAAAACAATGCCTGACACAGAGCACACATTGAGTAAATATTTGTGGAACGGCTGGAGGATGAACCAGGTTTGGTAAGTTTTGGACTACTGCTTCTATTGGATGGCCCAGAAATTAAAGCTGTGATAACTACAGGGCTACACAGCGAGTGACCATTTGGTTATAGGAACCATAGATACTACTGCCTGGTTTATTATTATACAATACACATTTGAAAATGAGCTAGGGTTGCCCTGGCCAGATAGTTTCCATTTAGTTGAGCCTTTAACTGGAACCTAGGATGTGCGTACATATCGATAGTATGTTTTAGGATCGTGCCCGCTCTCCTTTTGACCGTAGGCCTGGCTTCAGAGAAATGTTAAAACTTTTCACCCAAACTTGGGAGGATCCTAGTTCTTTTTCCAGTCAGCCCTCACTGTCCGAGCTGAGGAGGAGATACGTAGATAAGAGGCGCAAAAGCAGCCCTGCTTCACCCACGACGAGGCCCAGGATGCTAGCAACACCAGGGGAACCAGCGGGACTCAAAAGTACAGCGCTAGGAGCGCTCGCCCGGGTTCTGCTAGCCCGCCTTCGCCCTCCGCCTCCCGCGCACGCGCACGGGCGTGGCCGGGCCCGGGGAGGAGCCTGGCGTCAGCAGTGCGTGCGCGCATGCGCGCGCGGCCCCGCCCTCCGCGGCGTCAGAGGCGAGACGCGTTGCAACGCAGTGCAGCCTGGGAAAGGGGGATGAGCTGGGCCGGCCGCGTCGGGATGGCGAACGCGGTTTGCTCCTGAGGTTGGTGGGAGATGGGCCTTGGGCCAGGAGCCCGGCGTTCGTGAAAGCGCGTCTGGCGCCAAAGGTGAGTGCGGGTCTGGGTCCTGGCCTGTGTTCCCCGCAAGCCGTCCGCAGGGAGCCCCTTTCCTTCCTCTGGCTGCTGGTCACCCAGGAGACCAGCCCTGACCGCGGAGGGGGTGGGACGACCCGAACTTGGCCTCGGCTTTCGGAGGGAGGGCCCAGCCTCCAGTTTCCCCCGCTGCCCACCTGGAGTTACCCAGTGAGTTTCGTGTGGATTCGGATTTTCCGGTCCTACAAGGTGGCTTTGGCCATGCCTCCCCCTCCCCAGACCCGAAATGTACACACAGTACCTCTTGCTTCCCTTTTCTCAATTCTTGCTAACGAGCCACGATCCCGGGCCTTACTTTAACCCCGCAGAGTGTTTCGCAACCCCTCCCGTGTCCCAGACTTGCTTTCAGCGAAGTCCGGGTATGAATTTAAAGAACCTCTAAGCTCATCAAATGAAAACCGTGACTTACCTCAAATAGAAGCTTTTACTGTCTTAAAATGCCTCTCCTAGAGTTGTGGGACAAGTGAATTTCACCTCCACTCCACCTTGGAAATTATCAGAACCCCGAATCGCGGTGATGTTCATTTAGGCATAAAACTGCAGACCACACTTCTGGGTTTATTTTGTGCCGCCAGTTCATTCTGTGACCTTGAGGCAGGTCACTTAATCACTAACAAAATGTTTACCTGAAGACAGGTGTTGCAGAGCCAAAGGAATTTAGTATTTGTTAAGAGCTCAGGGAATTTAAGATGAAAGGGATTCCGCACTAATGGATGTTACTCTTTCTGAATCTGCAAGCATCCTTAAGTTTGTGTATTTTCTGTTGCAGCACTTGAAATTGTTAAGTGATATTTGTTAAGGGTGTTTTCTTGTTCTAGGTTTGCTCTGTGGCTTTGCTGTGTAAGCCGATTTTGCATTTCAACAGATTTTCTTTTTGAGTCGTTGAATTTCTTTCATGATGGATTCAGATAGTTTCTTATGACTTTATAGCACTTGGACCAGTTTATGTGAAAGAAGATGTAGGTTGTGCTTTGTCTTTATCATATTGGTATGATTGCCTTAAATGTGCATTTCTTTTGACACATTAGATGGATCTTTAAAATTAAATAGTAAGGATCTTATCATTGTAAACAGCAACAATCTGTCATTAATGATATAAATAGGCATTAATTGCACTTATGTATGTATTGTATTCTTTGAGAAACAATGCATGAAAAAAACTGATAGAAACCTGTCTTTCTAGCCTGGTTTTTTACATATTTACTTGAACTTTATTTATCATTATGATCATTTGTTTATTAATGTGAACATAATGGAAAAGAACAAAAAAGACATTTGTAAAGTATGACAGTTGGAAAATAAATCCAGCACATGTAATTTTTTTCCATAAAATTTTCAGCATATATATATAGGTTGTCCCAAGAAAATGTATACACACACTTTGTATAATTTTAAAGGCATTGTTTATTAAAATGCATTTTATTTTTCAAAATTGAGCTATCAGCTGTTAAAGTGCATATTTTTGGGGGGACACTGTTCACACACACACACACACACACACACACACACACACAGGATGCAGTGCACGAATTCGTGCACCTTGAAAGGAATTGTGGGCCATGAAGTTATAGTGGGCACAGGGGTGGGTCTTGGCCCATCCTCCATGTCCCTGCCTCACCCCTCCCCTCTCGCCACAGCCCCCCAACCCCCAACCCTTGTCTGCTGGCAGCCCTGCTCCTGCTGCTGCCACTCCCACACGCTGATGACCTGCTGATGACCTGATGACACCGGCCCTGCTCGCACCATCTACTGGGGGTGGAGCTTTTGGAGCTAGTGTCAACTGCGAATGCCAGCAGGGCCAGCACCATCAACTGGTGCAAGCAATGGCTGCCAGCCCCGATCGCCCCTCAGGAGCAGGGGGAGGTGGAGAAGCCTTGAGGGGTGATTGGGGCCAGCAAGCTATTGGGCCTGGCACCAAGTGCTGGCAGTGGATGCAAACAGCAGTACTGGACATGGGTGTGAGCGGGGCTGGTGCCAGCAGCAAGTGCGAGTGCTGGGCGGGACTATGGCATACAGGAGCAAAGAATTTTCAGTAACCACCAGAGGCTCGCCATGATGACAGCGACTGGTGTCCTGCCTTGGTCTGGGGCCCTGCTCACCTGCTCCACCACCCCGCTGTGACTCATGCCTACCATGTTCTGTACTCACCCCCTGGTGGTCAGCAGCGACCCACAGGTTGAGAACTGCTGTAGAGCCTAAGACCATCGGAAAACACAGATATTTTACATTATGATTCACAACAGTAGCAAAATTACAGTTATAAAGTAGCAACGAAAATAATTTTATGGTTTGGGGTCACCACCACATGAGGAACTGTATTAAAGGGTCACAGCATTAGAAAGGTTGAGAACCACTGCCCTAGAGCAATGTTACTCAAACTAGCCAGTCTCTGTTACAGACTTGCAGCTTGAGCTAGAATATAATAATTGAACTGCTTTCTTCATAGAGGAAGTAACTAATATGAAAAGTTCAGTGTGTTTAATTGTTACATTCTGTTATAAGCTTTAAATTTTATCACAGACTTAACAAAAAGTTTCCCAACCTGCACTAGCCTATGGATCACACTTAGCCTATGGATCATGCTTTGCAGAACTTTAATACTTTTTCAGTGTAACCTATTGTATTAAGAAATACATTTTACTTTTTAAAAAAATTATTATTGATTTGAGACAGAAAATAGTGGTCTGTTTTAGGAGAAAAAAATTTGATTTGAGAGAGAAAAAAATACATTTGTGTATGTTTTTATTGATTGATTTAAAAAATTTATTTTTATTTCAGAGAGGAAGAAAGAGGAGAGAGAGAGAATCATCAGTGATGAGATTGATCAGCTGCCTCCTGCATGCCCCACGCTGGGGATCAAGCCTACAACCTGGGCATGTGTCCTGACTGAGAATTGAACTTTGACCTCCTGTTTCATAAGTTGATGCTCAACCACTGAGCCACACCGGCTTGGCCATTGATTGATTCTTGTATGTGTCCTGACCGTGGATTGAACCCACAGCTTTGGTGCACCGGTACGATACTCTAACCCTGTGGTCGACAAATTGCGGCTCACGAGCCACATGCAGCTTTTTGGCTCCTTGAGTGTGACTCTTCCACAAAATACCACATCTTGGGCGAGTCTATTTTGAAGAAGTGGCATTAGAAGAAGTTTAAGTTTAAAAAGTTTAAGTTTAAAAAATTTGACTCTCAAAAGAAATTTCAATCGTTGTGCTGTTGATATTTGGCTCTGTTGACTAATGAGTTTGCCGACCACTGCTCTATCCAACTGAACTGCCTGGCCAGGGCCAAGATATACATTTTACATTTCAATTCAGTGCTCTATATAAGCATACATACTTGCATATAACCAAAAATAAAATTTCATGAAATAGGTCTTTACTGTATGTAAAATTCTCTCACATTTTCTCCTCAGTTTTATATTTTTAAAAGCTGGTTGTGACCTAAATGTACAGTGCTAGACACATAGTAGATACTCAGAAAATAACAAATTTTAGCAGTGACATTTCTTGAAAAGGTTGAGTCTTCTTAGTACTTTAGAATTGCTTTAAAAAAAAACACACACACATTTCATCAATATTCATGATATGTGTGTCATTTTAACTAGAATAAGTATAAAGTGGGTTAAATGAAATTTAAGTCAGTCAGAACATATAATGCATACTCGTACTGTTGACGGGCAAAGGTGAGATGAGATGATGGGTGCAAGGAAGACAAACTTTGCTTTCCTTCCAGGGTTGCCAGGAATCTCCACAATGGCTGGCGTTAAACCCTAGTGGAGATATCAGGACCAGTTTAAATTACCACAAACCTCAATCTTCACTTTTGTAGTCTTTCCTTTGTGGTTCAAATCATCTAATCTCTCTTTCTCTTTGGAAGGATCAGAAGGATTTTAAAAAGAGATGGATATATGTGCCTTCCATTTTCTTCCCACTTGTTAACTCATTTTCAGCACTGCCTGGATTTTACTTTTGGAGCATTGCTATTTAAAAAAAGCTAGAGTTCTTAACCTTTTTTTGAAGTATATTTTTGTTGATATCAGAGAGGAAGGGCGGGGGAGAGAGAAACATCAATGATGGCAGAAAATCATTGATTGGCTGTCTCCTGCACACTCCACACAGGATGGAGCCCGTAATCTGGGCATGTGCCCTTGATCAGAATCAAACCCAGGATCCTTCAGGGTGCAGGCCAGTGCTCTAGCCACTGAGCACACTGGCCAGGGCTTTGCTGTATTTGACATTGAGCATCTTTTTATTTTTTTATTTTTTTTTTAAAGCCTCACTGGAAGATATGTTTTTATTTATTTTAGAGAGAAGCATTGTTCAGTTTCCTTTCATAGGTACCATGATCAAGGGATCGAACCCACAACCTAGGTATGTGGCCTGACTGGGAATAGAACCTGCAACCTTTTTGGTAGGTGGGACAATGTTCCAACTAACTGACCCACCCAGCTGGGGCAACACCAGGCATCTTATTTGACAATTTAGCTTATACTAGAGTTCCTCTCGCAATCCAGGACCACTCGGGGGATGGCAGACTGCTGGTTTCAGCCCAGTCCACAGGCCAAGCTGAGGGATCCCACCAGTGCATGAATCTATGCCCTGGACCTCTAGTATGCATATAAGATATTTAGTTAATCTCTTCCCCTCCCCCTTCTCCCCTTCCCTCTGAGATTCATCAGTCTGTCCCATGTTTCCATGCCTGTGTGTTGAGCGTCTGACCCCTGGTGGTCAGTGCACATCATAGGTACTGGTCAAACAGTAGCTTAGGATTATATATATATAGACTAGAGCACATGTGTCAAACACAAGGCCCGCGGGCCAAATCTGTCCCGCCAGGCCTTGCAATGTGGCCCGCACCGCGCTGTCATCACTGCACTCTGCTGCGTTTCCATCACAATGACAGTTTATGACTGTTCAGTAAACCATTCGGCCCGCGATTTAGGCTGGATTTTAGATT